GCGAGTCATATTTGATGAAATGTTGCATGGATCACACCATTTTTACAATTTAGTGCAGGAGAGAAAGAGATAGAAAGGAGTAATGGATGGGGCTGGGTTTGGGGATTTTTTGATGGGTTTGGGATTGGGTTTTCTTTGGTTTTGTGCTTTTTGTCTCTAAGACACTTCTAAATTCCAGTCAAGTGATGCAAGTTCACGTAAGCATTTTAACTTCTTTTCTTCAAGATCAAAGAAATTGGTCTGGTTTTATAGATGTATTTTTATCTCTCTATTGTGTGCACTTCCCCTTCAGACACTGGGAAAATAAGGTCACGTTCCCTACTGTGTCCATCCTTTTCTATTGATTTTACTTTCTTAAAATCCTAATAGAGCTTGAAATTAATACCGCTTAATTTTCTTCTCCCTTTCTTGTGAACCAACAAAGCTTTCTTATTGCTGCTACACCACTCTGGGTACAAAGAAGATGATAGAGTTGGCATCCTCCTTCTAATGGCAAGAATCCCTCAAAAGAGAAAATCAGGAGGGTTTTGGCTCTTTCTCCAAGGAAGTAAAGGCTTTTCCTTCCATCCTAGAAAATGAGAAGCAGGCATACTTCTTCGTTCAGTTCAACAGGGGATGGATCACAGAGAGTTACAAACCCCTCTGATGTGACAAAATTCAGATTTACTGATGTTAGGACAAGTCTAAATTCCTCTTCTTAGTCTGCTTTCTCAGTGCTGTCTGCTCTACAAAAAACCCAACCTTTTCATAACCCCCTGCCTGGGACAAGCAACTTGTCTAATGCCTGGGAGCTCCTCCAGGAGCCAGGTGAATGCTGTTCCATTCCATTCAGTAATGGAACTAGCCACTTCTGGATCCAGTTAGAAAACATTTACCCAGGGGTAGATAAAGCCAGGTGAGGAGACTGACGGCTATGGAAGCTGCTTGGTTGTTACCAATGTTCTCCATTCATGAGCAACGATGCTGGAGTGGTACTCTCCAATTCCTTGCTCAGCATGGAGACCAGCAAGAGAGTACAGGAGAACATGGAAGTCATCACACCTACTGAATCAACGTCCTTCCATCCTGCCAGTGAAATTACTGGGGAGGAAAAGACACTTTATGCCCCTTGGAGTCACCTGGCTGTTGTGGGAGGGACTGAGGATTTCCTTGGTGAAAACAGCTGGAGGCAGGTTCGTTGTCAATAATGGAACGCGCCCACCCTGATTAGCACGGGCTCCTGTTTGCCATGCCCCATCCTCACATCACAGCAGTGCTCAGCTGCATAAAACGGGCTGTAAACCCTGCTCATTTTGGCTGACAGATACGATAAAGGTTATGTGTGCTTTACAGCATTACGAATTTGATGGAGAAAGTTCCCCTGAGACCTCTTGCTGCACCAGGTCTTAGCATTTGCTATAGCGTAGAAGAGACCTCATGGGTCATCTTTGCTGTCCCTCCTTTGCTTGTTCAGGATTCACTATCTAGCTCAATGATGCTTCTCACACAGATTAAAAGCATTTTAAATATGTATTATTTTTGCACTCTGTGTATCTGTGCCTTTCATACTCACATCTTAAATTCATTGCCTCTATGCCAGTTGTTTGTAAATGTCCCCAGGTGCTTAACTCTTATTCTCTGAATCCTCTGAGTTATTGTCGGTGAGTGTGGCTATTACATATTCCTGATATTTCTCAAAGGTCAAAAGAAAATGTAAAAATGCCATTTCTTTTCTCCCTATAAAGCAGAAAACACAATATTGTTCTGGTGCAGTTACTTTGGCAGATATGCTAAGATTTTATTTTTTTAAGTACACCTTATTGTATTTACTGCAAATATTCTGGATACAGAATTACTTCCTCAAATTATTAGGAGCTAGAAGATATAATCAGCTTTTATTCTGTTTTAGAATGTATTACTCTACCACAACAGTCTATTTGCGACAGTTTGCTCTCATCTTCCTGCAACCCATCTTAAAAATGAGACATAAAATTGAGGCTGTGGGTGCTTATGGACCCAATCCTGCAACATTTATGCACCTGTTTAAGCTGAATCATGTGAGGATTCATAGCAAAATGAATGTGCAGAATGACTAACATTTGAGGAACTATGGCAATTGCTCCAAAGCAGTCTGCAGTTCTTTGGGATAATGAGCAATGCACGAAACTGGTGCATTATCGGGGTGGATTATCTGCTCCTCCCCCAAATCTGGTCAGGATGCTACAAAGGATGGACTTGGAGTGCATGCAGAGTAAACTGTCCTCTCCTGTAGTCAGTATTATTATATTAATTTCTTTTTATCACTGCAGTAAGGCTCCTGACCGTGTAAAATTTAGCCCTCAGCAGTGCAACAAGATCTCGAGTTTTTTGTCGCAGAGTCACACTCGGTGGTGTTATACAGCCTCGTCAATTGATTACAAAATAATTCAGCAAGCTGCACTGTTCCTGCATCTTCTATACATCTTGCTGCCTACTCACCCCAAACCAGCTGCACTTCAAAGTCCTGGTGTCCATGTCTGAAGCCCAATCAACTGAAAAATGACCTTTCTCTCTGACCTATGTCTTTCAGGGGAATAAAGCAACAGATGACACCAAATAGAGGATTCACAGACATCTTTGTGTGAACTCCTTGCAATGGAGCTCTCCAGTGAAGGGCGTCAAGCTTAACTTCCAGCTCACCCTGCAAGGAGGATTTTTCTTTAAAATTTCAGTTAACAGGAGCATTTCCATTGACTTACACAGGAGCAGAGCCAAATCCCAGCATGTCTTTTACGACAAGCTACTCCCCAGCAGAAGCAGCATCCCAGCAGATAGGATGTCCCTGCCCCTGAGAGTCCTTGTCCAGGCAAGCCAACTCCCACGACACACTGAATGATCCCCCCACTCTTTGCTCAGCCTTCATTGAGATTTCTGTTCTTGCACATCGCCACTGTGATTGGCAACCGAAACAGAAAGATCAGACAAAAGAAGCTGAAACACCACCTGGGATGGAGCTGAAAAAGATGCAGGAGCAGATATCTCCATCTGTATTCTTGAGGGTGTGTAGGAGGGGAAGCCAGCTGCGGTGTGGTGCTCCCGAATCACAGGGGACTGGTGCTCTGCCCCGCTGCATCTCGGGAAACCCCGATGTCAGTCCCTGCACCAGCAAGGTCACCTCAGAGCCTGTTTCCTTATCCTCAGGCCAGTCACACTGCTATGAAGACAAGGGTGGGCAAAAGGAGTCCAAGAATAAAACAGAGGGAAAATTAGGCTTTTCTCAGATTTATGCAGAAGGTGAATTATGGGGCTACTTACACCACCTAAAATCAGTTTCTCCCCAGGGCCCTGAATACGCTCAATTACGAAAGCTGTATACTGGACTGTAAATTTGCCATATATACTACAGTATAATTGTACCAGACTCACCTATGTTGTATTTTTTACCTATAAATGTAGTGGTGGTTTGTTTGTCTCCTCCTTTTACAAGAGTTTCAAAATCCCCAGGAAAGCACATCGGCCGTAACTTGCTCCATCCACCATTTAATCCAGATAAAGAGAAGAGTCTTCTGCTAAGTGTGCCCTCCCATACACAATGCTGGGGGGTTAGGCATCCCTGTACATATGGACACTTTTATCCCAGTGCAAGGCACCTCGGCAGGAATCGCACAACACTGACAGCATATCGCACCCTGAGCAACATACTTTTGAATTGATGCAAAAAGCCGTGCACAGAAGGGAAAATGGCAGCTTTCCAAGTGGCCCCAGTTAATAGCTCTGTTTTGCTTAATGGTGCCTCCCATTCAGACTAAAGATGCTGTTTTAAATATGTAAGCAATTAGTATCTCTCGCTCTCAACACATCTGTGCTGCTTCTCTCTGCTGCATTATAAATCTGCCGCGTCCCTCTCCAGCTTGGCGGTGCGTATATCACCAGATATTCTGATTTTCAGCAACTTTCCGGCCCTAAAGAATTATGCTTCGATTTGGTGATGCTCTGCCAGGCTGGCATTGCCTAAACCCTGACACAGCCGTCCTCTCCTCTCCAGATCTGGCACTGGACTGAGAGACAGCAGAGATATGGAGAAAGCACCTTTTGGTGGTTTTTTTTTTGGCCACTCTTCAGTCCAAACAGTACTTTTTCCTTTTTCCCAGCTTTCACGTACTTCCCGTATAGAAACTGCAGCTTTTTCTCTCCATAACCAAATCTAAGGGCGCATGTAGCCTGCAGGAGGATGCTCGCAGGGGTTGTGATGTGGCTGAGATGCAGCCAAGCCCCTCAGAAGCAGAACACCATCCTTGTGCAGTTTCTGCCTAAATAAATTCTGCCTGTTCAAACTCCAGCGGGACTTACAGAGTCATGGCAGGACCAATGTTATTATAACGGCCAGTATTTGTAGTAGTGTAAGGGGTCACTGCTACTAAAATAGGAATTAATAATAACAGGGCTGGATGTGACTAGTTATTCAGCATCTTTTTTTTAATAGTAATAGAGATAGGTGTAATTAGTTATTCAACGCTATTTTATTTTGGTTTATTTTATTTTAACAGAGTGTTTTCAGTCCCAAAAGCTCTGTGTTTTCGCCCGTCCCTTACAAGGAAGGAGGAGGAGGAGGAGGTACAACCACCGCACCGCGCACGGGAGTTACCGCTGTCTGATTTTATTACAGTTTTTGTCCTCTCGGGGAAGAAGCCGCCCGCCTGCGCCGTGCCCACTCCCCTCCCCGACCACGACCGACCCCGCCACGGTGGGCGCAGGGGAGGGGACGCCACAGCCGAGGGAAGCGCATCCCGTTCGCAGGGGGGGAGGCACCGCGGGCGCAGCTGAGCCGGCGGGTCCCAACCCCCCGCGCCCGCCGCGGGGACGCGCCGCAAACTTTATCGGCGGGGGGGCGGCCCCGAGCGCCCCCTCCTCCCTCTCTCTCTCTCTCTCCCTCCCTCCTTCCCTCCGTGCCGCCCGCCCCCTCCCCTCGCCGGCGGGGCGGGCCGGGCGCTCCGCGGGCGCCGAGGGGCGGGGCGGCCCCGCCGGGCGGCGGCGGCGGCGCCGAGCCGGGACGCGGCGCCGGGCTCCGCACCCCGCGGAGCGGCCCAGCCCGGCCCAGCCCCGGAGCCATGCCGCTGCCGTGCCGGGGCTGGACGCTGGCGCTGCTCACGCTGCTGGTCGGGTTCCTCATCTTCGCCGATATCTCGGAGATCGAGGAGGAGAGCGGGTAAAGAACCCCCCGGTCCCCGCGCGGGGGAAGGGGCGCGGAGCGGAGCGGGGCTGGGGGGCCGGGGAGGAGGAGGAGGAGGCGGTGGCGGCGGCGGAGGGGGCGGGCGCCCGGACAGTTTCTTTGTCTCCGGCTCTCTCGGTTTTTGCCGTGCCCAAGTGGAAAGGGAGCGCGCTGCGCTCCCGCGCAGCTCCGCGGGGCTGGCGGCGGCCCCGGGCAGGACGGGGCGGGATGGGGCGCGGGGTCGGGGGGCAGCCACGGGCCGGGCAGGGGGGCGGGAGCTGGTTCCGCTCCCGTTAGAGGCGCGGAGGTACCGGTCCGACTGGGGATGCTGAAGCAGGTACTGGTCCCTTTAGAGACGCTGAGATACCGGTCCGGGTGGGAATGCTGGAGCAGGTACCGCTCCCCTTAGGGACGCGGGGGTAACCGGTTCAGGTAGGGATGCTGGAGGAGGTGCCGCTCCCATTAAAGAGGTAGGGGTACCGGTCCCGGTAGGAATGTTCCATCAGGTACAGGTCAGGATAGGGATGCTGGAGTAGGTACCAGTCCCGTTAGAGGTTCTAAGCTAACGGTCCAGGTGGGAATGCTTGATCAAGCACAGGTCTGGGTAGGGATGCTGGAGTGGGTACCAGTCTGATTAGAGATGTTGGAGCATATCCTGGTCTGAAGAGGGGTTTTGGCATGGTCAGTGCTCAGGTATTGATATATGGATGGAGCAGGTCCCTAAGCAGGATGTTGGTGCAGGTGGTCTGCTGGGCAGGGTTGCTGGGGCAAGTTGCAGCCCAGGGGGCTTGGGTGCCACTGCTGGTCCAGATGGGTGTGGTGGAGAGGGCACCAACCCACAGGGGTGACGGATAAGGGACCAGTGTACAGATGGATAAAGGACCAGTCTGTGGGATGGGAGAGATTGAGCAGGGATCAGTTGGGTGGAAGAGTTCAACCCACTGGTGTGTCCCTATGGGATGTGTTAGGGGCTTTGTGATCACCCCCTCCCGATCGCTTCCATGGTGGATTTTTACCTGCAGGTGCCCTGTATGGCAGGGGCTAAAGCAGCCCCTCTGTCTGAGAAGCAACACCCTACCCACCCCATAAACCCCGTCTCTGAGATCTGCTTGAAAACTTAGGGGATGAGAGTAACAAATGCAGAGAGTAGGGTTTGCATTAACTTGAGGAATTCACGATAGTAATTTGGAAAAACAAATAATTTTATTAATGAGGGGTGCACTCACAGTACCCAGATGAAACAAAGGCCTTTTTGTTTGCGACCAGGTGGCTCTGTCCGCTGTGTTACATCAAAACAAACACCTTGCTGAAATGATAAATGAAATGCAGTGGTGTTTGTTTATTGTTTCATTGTTATATTATATTGGGTGCCACAGGCAAGAAGTGCTCAAAGGTCAGTAGCCTTGCCCAGAAACATCCAGCACCAGACTGTATGTTACCAGAGTAGATGAATTGTTGCTCTGCAATAAGCTGGCACTATCTTTATAATAATAAAAGAAATTAAAAGCTTTTGATGCATCCTCCCCATCAGACAGGCTGCTCTGATCCTCCTGCTTTCCTCCCATCTTTTTTCCAGCTTCTATTCTTTCTTCTCTACCCTCACCTATCTGCTAGATCTGCCTGCTAGAACTTGCTGTGCCCTTATTGAAAATCTATTCTCTTTCGCTACTTACTTATCCTGTTTTTCACCCTGGTTCATTAGGGATTCCCAGTGTTGTGTCTTTTTTTTCTCCTCTCTTTTCTCTACATTGTATGGAAATTGGATGTTTGTTGGCTGCTTATCTCCATACCCTGGCATCTGAGTTTGTTGCTGTAGTTCCTCCAAGGAAGTACTGCCAAGCAGTGCAGTGGCAGCAATGGCAACAGGGTCAGATGAGTTCTGTAGGAACAGCGAGCAGCTTGTTTCATGCAGCATTCAGAAATTATAGTGCAAGAGGTAACTGGTAAAGGAGAGGAGCACCCTGCCTCCCAGGGGGTGAAGGAGGGGTCCAGCAGTCTGGTACCCTCAGATACGTCTTAGTGCCAGACCTTTCATAGGTAAGTTCCCACATCAGCTGTGCTTCCCGTATAGGGATGAACAGAGCGTAAGTGGGACTCTTCTCTATTACTTAATTTTTCAGCTTTGGGGGCCACATAATAGAATTTTTTCAACAGGTCCTTTAGGTAAACGGAGTTGTGAGACAGCACAAGTGCACAACAGTGTAGAGAAGAGACCCTCCCAGAGCTTTCCAGGAGCTCTTTGTGTGTCCAGGAGGGAACAGCTCCTCTCCATGAGAGGTTTGGGAGGTACTGTGTATTTGTGCTTTTCTCCCTCATGTCAGGAATATTTGACTGATGGATCATGTGGCTCAACATCCTCCTTCACACCCCCATAAACCAGCCTCATTTTGGCAGCAGCAAGGCAAGGAAGGAGCTGGCCAGGTGTCCCCTGGCAGGCTCATGGTGCTGAGGGGAGCTGGGAAATGCAGGCAGGTGCAACTCTTTTCTTCTTTTTCCTTGGCATCGAAACACTCTCTAATTATTGTGAGGAGTGAACAGCTTGCCCACTTTTACACATACCCTGCCCCCTGCCTGTAATTTGGATTGTCTTTGGAAGAACGCGCCTCATACGTGTGGGAACAGGGGGGAACAGATTTCTCTCACCTACAAATACTGAGAAATTGCAGAAAGAAAACACAAAATGTTCATTAGGTAAAAAGTAAGAACATAATACTATTGGCAAATGGAAAAAAACCCAAACCCCATGCTGTTTCTTTGGACAATAAGTTTCCAGCATCGCAGGTGAAGGGAGATAGAAGCCAAGGGCGGCTGGGAGCTGCTCTGCCTGCCAAAGGCTTCTGAGAAAGATGTTTGCTCCTTGAGCAGTCCCATCTCACTCCTCTAGATATCCTTACACAACCTCCCGCAGCCAGGAGATGCTGAAACAAAGAGATGTCGGGGCAAGGATGAAAATTCAGCAGTTTCTCTCTCCCGATGCTGCGTGGCTCCCGTTAGCCCGTCCCTCCCACCCCTGCAGCCACCTCTGCTCGCGGGTTTTTTTTTTTTTCTGCTGCTGCATCCCTGTCACCCACAGATGTGCGGCTGGAGCCTCGTGCCCGCCGGTCCTGCGGGATGCCTCCCTGCGGGCGGGGGACGGGCTCGCCCCGCTCGCCTTGGCTCGCTCCCCGGTCGCCGGCGTGTGCCGCGCGGTGAAGTATTGCTGTTGTGAATGGTCTTGGCACTTTGTTTCCGAACAACCACCTGGTTCCGGGCTGCTGAACTTTTCCTGCAGCCCGGTGGCGCCTGTGTTTTCATCCGTCGCTCCGGCTCTTTGTTTCCCTGGAAGGAAACAAAAGACACGCTCGCGGTCTGTCTTGGGGAGCGCTGATGCGGTCGCAGCCATTTCCTCGTCCGCCCCCGGGACAGGGGAGAGGGCAGACCTCTCCCCACAGAGGAAGACAAAGGACTCGGCATCGAGTGGGATGATTATTGCCAGTGGCGAGGAGGAAAATTCTGCTCCAGTTTAAAGGGACTCTTTGTTATTCTAAGCCTGCCGTAGCAGTTCTGCAGGGGTCCGGCTGTGTCCTGATTGTCTGTAGAGGGAGCTGGTGACCCGCTGCCACCAGGTGACTTCTCGAATTAGCGTCTGAGCCATCTTAGGGAGCACTTGACACGTGGTAATGGGTTGGTCTTAATACAACCTTTTCCCTGCTAGCCCAGACCACATGCCTTTCCATCCTGATTACAAGAGGAATTATATTCTGTTCTCTCTAAGTGACGAATTGGAGTCTCTGATATTGCTGGCCTGCCTGGAAGCTTGTCAGTAAATTGCCACTTTTTCCTCATGTGCCCTTTTCTAACGCCTGCCTTTTAAAGGCTCAGGAAGAGAGATTTTGTGTCCTTTATGGTGGCTGATGCGCTTGCTCTGAGTGGTCTGTAGCGGGCTATAGTCGTAACGCTTCTTGTCAAGGTTGGTCCATGGGGTATAAATGTCCTGCTCAGGTCTTTCAGCCTGTGATTTACTGCTTCTACCCTAGAGTTAGTCTAAGACTTGCTCTCCACCAGAAAGTTTTGCTGGAAAAAGTGCTGTGTTCTACCAAGATACACTTTTGTGCGCTCACACAGCAGGTGCACACTACCCAACAATTATCCAGGTTGGGCTGGAGGAGGAATAGCTCTCGGCAGGACAGAAACTCACAGACACCCTGGAACTATTCATGTAAATGGAACCAAAGGAGACCTTTTTACTCACTGGTTATGGCAGGGCTCTAATAAAAAAAGCTCCGTGACACATCAGGCTGGAAAATAAAAGCAATGTTGGAGCACTGATTTAAGTAAGAAAATACTCGGGGTAGGCTTTCATTGCAGCTCTTCTAACAATAACCTGATCTCAAGCAGCCAATTTCAGGTTGGCTACAGAGCTCCCCCTCCTCCCTGTGAAACACTCCCTCATCTCCTGTAGCCCTGCAGGGGCACAGGGGGCTGCCACAAAGACATATTCAAATCCTTGTGTTCCTGCCTAGAGCAGGCTGAAGGAGATGAATCTCCACAGCTTGTTTTCTTAAACTGAGCCCTGATGGAATGGCAGGAGCAGTGGTACCTGCAGGGAATCGGTGCCCAGCAGGAGGGCTGGGAGCAGCAGGATGGGAAGCATTTGCAGACCCCCAAGCAAGCCAGTGGAACAGAAAGAAAACCCACAAATAAGGGATTTCCGCTACAGCTGGTGAAAAGTTACTCTTCAGTCCAGTAGTGATTGTCAGCAGCTTGCAAGACCCTCAAGGAGGATATTTCTGAGCTTGCTGGTGAGGAGGGCAGTAGCTGTGGCAGGAGGTTGCACATCACCAGCCAGCCTTTCTTGGGTGCAGAGTTGCTGAAAGCAGGCCAGTTCATAGACTAGAGCAATGAAGAGAGAGCAGAGTGGTTCCCAGAAGGGCTTTAAGTTTCCCTTTTGCCCAGGTGGGCTTTTTGTTTCCCATTTCTAACCCCACAAATGCACAATCCTGGTTGGGAAAGCAGAG